GGCAGGTCGAAGGTAACATGAGTGTTATACCTATACAAGTCGAAGTCTTTAACTCGTTAATCTAGGCATCAAGCTTCTCTGCACAACCATCACATCATAAATAAGAATCTTTACTAATGAATTCTATTTTGTATATTTAGATTCTTCCTCCTTAGTGGTATTTTCATCTTCATTTCTATTCTCTAGTCATATTTGCATTTGTTATGAAAGCAAGAGGAGGAATACATCTTGGTAGTTATATTTTACATTAGTTTTGCCACTTGATCAGCTAGATTTGGTGTAGAATCATGGTCTGCCATGGATTAAATTTCAAGTAACAGTTGAAGACTTGGAGCTAGTGGTTCCAGACTTAAGTTTTGCCTTGGGATCATTGGATATCTTAGGAGCAAGAGAAGATGGTTGATAGGGCTTTTGAGATAAAATACTAACAATAGTAGCATGATTCCATTTGAAAATGGGCTTGATATGTTGTTCCGACTGAAAGGCTCAATGGAATGCTTCCTTGAGAGTATAAATCTCTCAGGTCAACTGCTCCCAATGGATGTGAGGAGGTAATCCTGCTTAAAACCTTGCAATAGCAGATAGTGGGCCTTCATTGATGTCACTTTGAGTCAATAACTCATTGAATTAAATCATATAATGAACCACTGCTATAAAGCCATGCTTAGTTCATCTAGAAGTTGATAATGATATATTAGAGGATGGTATTTCTGCTCAAGAAGCTCTTTCATCTCAGTTCAAAAAACAAAGTGATTGATCAAATATTTATTTGAAGTTGTCACTCCAAGTTGATCCAGTAGCTCTTGGCATAATAATGTGTTTATAAAGAAAATATGACCTATATGTTCTCATACATAGCCATCTGATAGAAAGTGGATACAATTTTTTTAAAATCAGTGAATGACAATAAGAAATTGGGAGGAAGAATACACTGAAATTCTTTTTATTGCAAGATATATGAAAGAAAATACATGGAGAGGAGTGGGATCGAGTGTGTTTTGAATAGTTTGAGATGAGGTTTGGTATAATTGAGTTGAATTGACTCATTAGCTATTTGAAATTTCATTCAATAAATAACTCATGAACTAAGATTTATGAGTTACCAAGCTAAATTTAATTTAAACTATGGTTGTAAACGAGTTGAGTCAAACTCGAATCACACCTAACTTGAACTTGACTTGAGTTGGAGCTTGATTAATTAATAGAGTTTGAGCTAGAGTTTCATTCTATGAGTTCGAGCATGTTCATTTGTAATGAAGGAGAGAAAATAATTATTATTCAAGCAATTATTATAATAAAATAATTAAAAAAATGAGAAATTAGAAAGAAATAATAATGAATCACTTAATATAAGAAAGTGAGTTATAATTGTTAAATATTTTTAATATTTTTTTAAATCATAAATGCTAATATATTTAAAGTGTTGGCTCACTAGCCAACGAGTTTAATCAAGGCTGACTCAAGCTTGAATCCTTAGTTCATCGAGCTCGACTCGCGAGTCATTTAGATAGTCAAATCTGTGCTATCTCATGAGTTAGTTTGGCTCACTCATACCCCTAATTTAACCCTCATAGTTCATTAGCTAGCTAGTCTAAAAATATTATTAGAAAATATATTTAAAGTTTATTAAAGTACACAATTTTAATTTAAAAATATCATGAATAATAATAAGCTCTTTCTTATTTCATTTTTTTTTTAAATTTCTTCTATTATACCAATTTTTTTTAATGAAAAACATTTTCTTATTTTTATAATTAATAAATTCACTCTGTTTATCCAAATGTAGGGGTGTTAATTTTGGCCTGACCCGAACTCGAATTTGGTCGGGTTTGAGTTGACCCGGGAACCTGGAAATAACCTGGTTGCCCGCTTTGTCCGCGTGCATTGAGCCGCTACCACGTGTGACACGTGTCGCATTGCTTGTCGCGCCGTCGCGTCTGCCCGCGATCCCGTTGTCACCGTCGCGTATGCCGCGCGTCGCCGCTGCTCGTGATGCCTATGCGGCGTCGTCACATCGGCTCCTATTGCAGCTGTCGGCCACCAAAGTCCTTTAAACGGGCGATTTCTGCCATTGTCGAACATGAAGTGGGTCGTGTCAAGTCGGGTTGACCCGAACTTGAAGTGGGTCGGGTTTGTGTCCGGAAAATTGACCCGTATGCAAAAACTAGTTCAGGTTGATATGAATAGTGTCGGGTTAGTTCTGAGTTTGACCCGATGTGACCCGTGATCTGAAATTGACATACCTATCCAAATGTATATTGTAGACCTAAGCTTAGCATTCCCACTAAGCTTAAATTTAAATAACAAATAATTAGTTCTCAACCGCACTAATTGCCATATCTAAATCAATTGAATAGCTTTGAAGCAAATTTAAAAGAAGCAAATTTAAAACAAGAATTGAATAGGCAAAAGCGCAGATTCTCCCTCTTTATATCTCAATAATTTTTCCATCAATCAGAGTCACTTTAAACGGCACAAATCGTGCCTATTAATAGAGATGCTATTACTTTATCATCTTAAAAGCTGTTCCATTATTAAACCTAAAGCGACGTATGAGGTCTTTCATCTTTGTAGGCAGAAAGATAGCAACGGACGAGAATGTAACGTACATTCCCACTAAGCTTTCCAATCATTCATTTGTTTAATATTTTTTTTTTTTATAATCTGAATAATTGTATTTTTTCAATAACTGTTCTCAGTGGTATGAACAGTCAGAACAGCTCGGCTCACTGCCTTTTTTTTTAATTCTTATTGTTAAAAATCTTGGTATTTATAAAATTAATATGTAAACATTTAAAATAAAGTAAAAAAGTTGATATAAAAATTTAGTAAATAACTGATGTTGTGTGTTGTTTCTTCAATGATTTTATTATAAATAAAAATCATTAACTATTATCTTATAGGCTTGAGAGAAATATTTATGAGGGTGTTTTAATAAAAAATAATTTAAAACTTTGAAATTTTGAATATATTTTGAAAATAATATAATATATGTATAATTTATATTATATTATCTTTATAAAAAAAATTGTATTCCTTTTTTTTCCTTATGACTTTTTAGGCTAAGAAAATTGGAATAATGAAAAAGTGCAAAAAACCTACACCATCAAATGTGGTGGGTCTTCAGTCCTTTCTTTTATCTTTATATACGTCAATATCGTGTAGGATACAGTATGTGGGCCATTTTTATTTTATTATTTTTTTTTAATTTTATTGGCATTGCTATTATTTCTTATATAGGTTTTAGATATTATGGTCTCACTTAGGTTTGAATTGGTGCACTAAAATATGATGAGCACACTGTTCTCAAGGATAGCTTTGCTAATGGGCCTTTTTAATTTTATTTTAAGGCAATAAAAACTTATTTTACTAAACATTATTTTTATATTAAAGCATGAAATCATTTTGTTCCAAATGTTTAATTGAATGAATAATTTAAATGATTGAGATTTAAAATAATAATACTTAAATGAATGTCTAGGATTTCATGTTTATGGAATATAATTTTAATGTTAAAACATAAAATCTCACGAATAAATTTTGAAATGAACGGATTTGGATGTTTGATATTTAAAATTTCTATTCTTACTACACTTGATAGCTCATTTGATAGGGATCCTCAACATTAATAACTTCAACCCTTAAGATGGAAAATTGGAAAATTCCCTTTAGCCTCCCCTACACCTAATAAGGATAGTTCCCTTCCAAAAGTTTTAGCTTTAACTATCTAAATTAAATCATAGGGAATTTGACTCACTCAAGCCAAGAACCTTGAGTTATGACTTTAACCATAAAATGGATAGGACCCGTTTTTGACCTGATTTTGACCTGAAAATTGAAGATTGACCCAATTTTTGACCTGAAAGCTAGCAATTTTAGATCAACTTTAGGTCATTCGTGTCGGGTCGGGTTGACCCGGGCCTGAATTGAGTCGGGTTCGGGTCCGGAAACTTGACCTGTTTTTAAAAATGAGTCAGGTTCGGGTTGACCTGAATAGTGCTGGGTCAGTTCCGAGTTCGACCCGAACCCGACCTGTTGACCCGAATTGACACTCTAGTCAATCTAATGTAGATTGGATCATTAGGATCATAAAGGCTAATCCACTTCATTAGATATACAAAGGCTACCTAACTTCATTAGGTCTACCTAACTTCATTAGGTATATGAAGAATACCATTTCAACTATGTATATAAAGCTACCTCATTTCATCACAAGATGATTCTATTTATGGTGAAGGCTAACTCAATAAAATTGATGTATTGATTGCAAACAATGCTGAGAAATATTTATCAATTCATATTGGGAATATGAACAAAAGGAGTAGTTACTTTCTTTGGATCTCTATTCTAACCCTAATCAAATGCGTTCAGAGACCAATAACCACGCGCTACATCATCTAAATCTCGGTATTTTGGACTCGGTATACATTCGGACCGTTCGGTTTTTGACCGGATGTAATAATTTCTCCTAATCTTGATAGTTTTTTCATGCAATATTATTAAGGTACATCATATTTTAAGTTTAGTTCTCCATCAAAGTAGTTATATGGGATCTTGGTGCATGTTAATTACAAAATGGTGAATGATGGATCTGTTAGTTGATGCATGGTATCATCACATGAGAGAGAGAGAGAGAGAGAGAGAGAGAGAGAGAGAGAGAGATTGTTAATGCATTTGAACTGCATATTTTTAATTTTAGAAAAAATAAATTATTTTCTTATACAAAACAACCATCAAACTATTTTAATCTTTACCTTATAAAAAAATTAATTATGCATTGTAATTTGTTAGAAATATCTTGCAACTTCAGAAGAATTGTATTATAACTTAAATTAAATTAAACTCATAATACCCTAAACTTTTTTTTTATCATAAAAACCATAAAAGGTCTCTTAAAAAATATATCTTTATGAGAAATAAATCTAAGTTTATGGTCTACACCTTTTTCTATTTCAGTTTTTATTAACAAGCAACTATGCATAAAAAAAAACCATAAATGGTAAAGGGGGGTAACGATAAGAAAGCTGATATTTGCATTAAGCCAAACTTACATCCGTTCAAACTGGTTGCAGCAGAAGAAAAAGGAAAATATAAACTGGTCTCCTTAGCTCTATTAAGAACAAAGAAAGAGTTCAAAAGAGAGACACTTTGAAAAAAAAAAACAAAAAATAGAAGAGAAGAACTAAGCTGTTCCCATCAAAGCTAAAGCATTCAGTGACTATGGTGCACTGCTCTGGAGTTACTTATAAAGAGGGACATGCCTCCCTTCTGTAAATTCTTTCCAGATCCAAAATCTTTCCTAAAAACACAGATCATACTGTATAATGCTGATTAATGGTGTCGATGTCGAGACCCTTAAGCTTCACTACAGACTCGACGTGGCCTTTCAGGGTGTGCAACTCACGCAGCCTGCAAATCATTCGCCATTAAAAAGTGGTGCAATAAGTTTTTGCGAGATTTTAATTTTTGTATTAGAAAGTCGTTTTAAGAAGTATTAAGAAAGTTGTCCCAAACGAAGCTTTAATATGAGCAGGATATATACATACCTCGCAACCTCAGCGCGGCGTTTGGCCTGCTCGGCAATCTCGGATAGCTCGCGGTAGCTGTTCTTATCATTAAAGAGCGATGTAGTCTCGGCAGGTTGCAGGCCATGGAGAGTTCTCTGCGCCGTGGCCCATTGTGCCTCCCTCTCCTCTCTTCCATAATCCTTCTTTGTAGTGAAGGCGGTCTACAGAAATTCAAAGCACGTTGAATCAGTTATAATGAGAATTGGAACATTAAATTTCAAATTTAAAGGAGATCTATCTAAGAAAGGAGAGATTACCCTATTCTCAAGAAGGTTATCCCATGCTTTTCCACTTAGAATGTAGCGGACGGCAAACTTCCACAGATCTAGAGGAAAGAAGAAGATTATGTTGTAGAGCCAGATGACACCAGCCCAGCCCCAGCCACAACCTTTGATTTTGGCAAATCCCCAGTTTGCGTAGACAGCTATAAAAGTGGCAACCTGCCAATGGATGAAATTGATTTAATCCTCTCATTTTTTTAAACAATAACTTCGAATATCTATCTATTCTGGGCCCAGGAAAGATCATTGTGCCCGTTGTTTTCAACGGATTACAAGTAAGCGGAGAATTTCGGGCACTTTAGTTGTTGAACAAAAAGGAGTGGGGTGAGGTAGATTCTTTGAAAAGCAGCACAATTATTCAACAAAAGAATGGTCATGGTTTGGCTGTAATAGATTGAAAAAGAGATTGGTAGGCATAGAGGGACTTACAAGTTGAGCAATGGCGAATGCGCCCATAAGCAGAAGTCCTGGGCGCTCAACAAAGCACCAGCTTCGAGAGCGAGTGACAAATATGAGTGCCTGGCTCACAATGCTGACTTGGAGATAAAGTGCAGCCATCATCTCATCAGTGCTGTACCTCAGCGATCGAACACCAAATTTATCCTAAATTATCAGAATAAAATGATATGGAATTTAAGAAACTTTTCATGTCATCTAACAATGAATTATGAACAAACAGATGAAACTTACCGAGAAGAAGTCTGTTTCCTTCATAGCCCAAAAGAAGATGACAGTCATCACAGCTAAATAACTACCAAGGACAATCCCGGTTGCAAAGATTTCTTTGAGCTTCCAGCTGTCTGGCAGTGGAGATGGCTTCACTCTATCTTTCGAGATTGTCATAATTGTACCTAAGAATTCATTACAATTGTTATATGCCAGATGTAACTGAATACATGAATGCGAAGTATAGATTAAATGATTCGACAAGCAACCATTAAAGAAGAGCAAAACATACCATCATTTAGGATGGCAATAATCAAAACCATGAAAGGTGAAAAATCGAATTTCCAAATAAGAGCAATAAGTAGAAAACCAAGCTGCAAAGATCCAAACAGAAGTGTGGTCAGTTGTAATGGAACCTAAGTAGACAAAGTTACTCATACAACCCTCTCCTAAATTTTCATATGGTGCTTACCACAATACGGATGGTGATGGAAACTGCATAAATCTGCAAGTTAATGAGTCATAAATAAAAATTAGTCTCAAAGATTTTGAAGTGAGTCGTAATAGTTACGTGTATTGGCAGTGAATATACCGTACCGTATAGTTTTTCATCCTTTGGAAGATGGCCCTGCTTGTTAGAACAGCACTGATGATGACACTGAGCCCTGGCTCTGTGAGAACAATATCAGAGGCACCTCTGGCAGCATCAGTAGCATCAGCAACAGCAATTCCAATATCAGCCTTCTTCAGTGCAGGTGCGTCATTGACACCATCTCCAGTCATTCCACAAATGTGTTTTCTCGCCTGAAGCTTCTTCACGATTTCATATTTGTGCTCTGGGAACACTCCAGCAAACCCGTCAGCCTTCTCAATTAGTTCATCCACAGGAAGGGCATTAATAGCTGGGTCCTTATTCTGTCCCAACAAAGCAGAAGAGGGGTACATGTTAGTTCCCATTCCAAGCCTTCGGCCAGTTTCCTTAGCAATAGCAAGCTGGTCCCCTGAAAATTACACAGAACTGAGTTAATTGATACAATAAGAGGACAGTGTCTCCAGTTAAGAATATGATATAAGCAGGTATACCAGTAATCATTTTAACATTAACACCCAGATTGAGAGCTCTGCGGATGGTTTCGGCACTGTCATGCCTTGGGGGATCAAAGAGTGGCAGTAGGCCAACAAACTGCCACGGCCCTCCTGCACTTTCCTTACTCTTCTCTGGAACATCCTGAGAAAAAAAGAAAATCAGATAAGACATGAATGGAGTGAAATATTTATCCAGTTTGCAAGAAAACAATAAGGTCACTAATGGAAAACCTGGATAGCCACAGCAAGAGATCGAAGGCCACGCTCAGCAAATTTCTCAATTATATTATGAACTTTGTTCTTAGTATCTTCTCTAGCATTGCTGAGGGTCAAAATCTGTTCACATCCACAAAAAAACAAAAAAAGGTAAACGAAAGATACTTCAACTAATTTACACTACATTAGAAAAACGACCTTTAAATTTGTGAAGCAAAAGTCTATGCCACTATTCTTTAAGTTCTGGTGCAAACTATTAAATTTTGAGATTATTAAAATATATGAATCAAAATTTAACCAACTTAACCACATTTCTATCATTTTAGTAAACTTATATAAAAAGGACTTTGATTTTATAATAACCAGGTAGTAAATAATTTCATATTTTCTTTCATTTTTTGTCCAACAATTTCACAAAAATATTTTATTAAAAAAGGATCTTACCTTGAACATAAAACATCTTACCTATTATCATAGTTAATTTCTTTAGGTATGCTTAGATTCATATAAACCATATCGAAACTTAATTTTGACGAAATTTGGTGTTCAACTATTTTTTTTAAGATTATGTGCATACTTAAAAGGCACAACAATAATAGAAAAAAAAGGGCAAGAATACTTGAAGAAAATTAATTAAATAAACAATAGTATGATGTAAAGCTCGAGAACCTACATACATACGTAAAGAAATGTCATAAATTTAAACTATGTGAACTTCTTCACATGAGCTCGCGTGTAAGTTAAATGAGTTCAAAATAGAAACTGATTTACCTGCTCGGGGGCACCTTTGCTTACACGGTACCAGCGTCCATGAGCATCGTAGTAGGTCAAAGCAGTCCTCTTGTCCACAGGATTGAATGGAAGGAAATGGACCTCTGTGATGCCTGCTCTTGCCTGTAAGAAGCAAATTAAAACCAATCAATAATCATAAGTACAGCCAAGCACTCATTGCTAACTAATAATTGCTTCGAGCTAGATATACCTCTTTAGGATCTGCAAGCATCCCCACCATGGCTGCGTCAATGGCATCCTGGTTCTCAGTCCTTGAAGCCCTTGCAGAATAAAGAATAACATCCTCCTTGCTAACTCCCTTGGCAAAAACCTCAACAAGATTCTTATCAATGCTCAACTTGTTAAGAGTCAATGTTCCAGTTTTATCACTGCACAGAACATCCATTCCAGCCATCTCCTCAATGGCAGTCATCCTCTTTGTAATTGCCCCCTGCTGAGATAGGCGATGAGACCCAATAGCCATGGTAACAGAAAGCACTGTGGGCATGGCAATCGGAATTCCACCGATCAAAAGAACAAGCAGGTTGTCAATGCCACTGCGATACTTGCGGTGCTGAATTGGGTACATGACTATGATCTCCACGATCATTCCAGTGGCAATTGAGCAGATGCAGAAGTTTCCAATAGAAGTAAGAACCTTCTGGAAGTGGCCAACCTGGTTGGTGCTATCAACAAGATGGGCAGCCTTGCCAAAGAATGTGTGGACACCAGTGGCAATGACAACTGCCTCAATCTCTCCCTGCTTACAGGTTGAACCAGAAAAGACCTCATCACCAGGGTTCTTTGTGACAGGAAGAGATTCACCAGTGAGAGCAGATTGATCGATCTTGAGGGGATCACCCTCAAGGAGGCGGGCATCAGCAGGGATGATGTCTCCCAGTTTGATGCTAACGATGTCCCCTGGTACAAGTATGGAAGCATCTTCCTCGGACCATCGGCCATCCCTGAGCACCTAAGGAAATTGAAGCATGCAGAAATAACTAGCAGGAAAAGGGAAAATAAATCCAATTAAAAAACTACACGCACTTTATACGCTCTAAACCAGTCCATCATCAAGCCTTAAAAATTATAACCATAAATGGGAACTAAAGTAGATACAGCAAGATTATTCATAGCACATATCGCTTGAAAACGATGATAATTATCGGAAACTAAATTTTTTCAACGCAAAAAAGCTCTTATCATTCATCTTTCGAACTGATCGATCAATAAAATTATACAGATAAACAAAAGAAAAAATAATTTCTAAGGAAAATTTGAAACTTTCTCAGGGGGAACAAAATCAAAATTACCTTAGTTTTGGGAGCAAGCTGAGCCATGAGGGCTGCAGCGGCATTACCGGCGTTGTTCTCTTCGATGAAAGAAATGGTGGAGTTAATCACAAGGAGGGCGACAATTCCAATAAAGTCCTGCCAATCTGGATCCTTCCCCCTGGCTGCAATAGCGATGATGGCTGCTGTCTCCATCACCCAAGAGAGAGGATTCCACATGAAACCAAGAAACTTGAGAAATTTGCTCTCCTGTTGAAAAACAAATGAGGTTGATTCTCAGCCTTTAGCAAAAAAAATAATAGAGGCGGTGTGGAAGAAGAAGAACATGCGCAAACAGTTTCAAGATTGAACTTTGACCTTTTTCTCCTCGAGCTTGTTGGGACCGAAGATCTGGAGTCTGTTGGCTCCTTCGTCTGAAGAAAGGCCTTCTTTGGTACATTTCAGCTGCTCGAAGACCTCCTCGATGGGAATTTTCTCCTAAGAAAAGAAATTGAAAAAGTTAATGAATATGGAGATCATCGTCAGCCTTTCTTCCTCCACCTAAAAGAATATTTCAAGAAAAAAAAAACTGATTTATCGGCATCAAACACAAAAACATGCACATACGGATGATCGATCTTAGGAATAAGACACGTTAGTCGCTATTCAATTACTGGCCGGATATGGAGAGTGCATGGGACATATGGAATGCAAAATTAGGTGCGAGGTAAAACTAGCGCAGAGACTCTCTCTCTCTCTCTCTCTCAGTCGCTTTCTATGGACAGTAGAAAGTGTTAAAATAGCAATCCTCCAAGCGAAAGGAAATGGAATTACCAAAGACTAAGAAAAAGAAAATCTTCTATCCCAAAATTAAAGGAAAATGCTTCGCTGCCCAAACCACTGGAAGCTAATCCCTAAATTTTCGGAATTAAGTCGGCCAAAATAAACAGAAAAATGGAAAATACGCATCGCGATCATTCCAAAGCAGCACAGCACAGGCTTCGAAGCGATACAGAAGTAAAGAATGGCTCCCTTTTTTAAATCTGAAAGTCGTATGGGATGCTTCTCTATTTCCCCTTTCCCGGTCTTTTTTTCCTTTCAATCAACCGAAAAAAAGCAATATAATAAAAATATCACAGGAGACATGATGAATAATTCTAGTCAGCTTACAGAATTTAAAATAAAAAAGTGGAAACAGAGTTCAATTCACAATCAGAGCTAGCAAGAGAAAACCCACACTTAAGTATTACTATTATCTTCCCTCAGCCAATAAAAAAAAAAATCTCAAATGATCGCATTCAGGCAGTCGAATAACAATTTAACCCAAAAATAAGATATGCAATAAAAAACACAAACATATACCGATCAAAATCAGTTTTCCTTACCAGATCAACAGTCTCATTCTTGATTCCTTCAAGGCTTAAGCCGTTTTCCCCTCCCATGCCGCCTCCTCTTCCTCCTCCACGTTATACTAAGCAGAGTCCTCAAAACCTAATGAGAGAGCGAGCGGGACAACGAGATAGAAATTGAAACCCTAGAGTCAAGATTACTGGAACTGACAAACCCTCTCTGTCATAGAGCTGGAAGAGAAGGAGGCTAAGACGACGACAATGGAAAGGAAATAGAGAAAGGAAAAATTTGCAATTCGTAGTCGATCTCCATTTGCCGCCTTATATAGCTGCAATGCGGGCCCCATTCGCGTACCTGGAAATTTACCGTCTGACGTGTCGGTCGTCCTCCTGGCCTGCCCGCCCGCCCGCAGGCTCGTCCCCGGCCCGCCAGACCCGTTAGCCCTGCTGTATTACGGCCTTACGGGTGACATGATCAAGGATACTGCAATGTTCGAAATCGAACGGCTTAATAAGATTTCCTTTGACATAACTTTTTATCATTAATTTTTTTTTTTAATTTAAAAATTGTTCATAGAAAGCTGTAGCAAACAAATTTTAAATCAATAGAAATAAATATTAAAAATTTAAAATTCAATCAGAGTTTAAATATGATTAAAAATGATTACAAGATAATTTTTTCAGTTCCCTAATAATTATTTAATAAATTAAAGATAGTACAAAATATTAAAAACATAATTATTTATTAAATAACATAAAATTTTTAGAATTAAAAACATTTAAAAATTAAATAATAAAAAAACAAGTTTACAATTATCAAAATATGTTTGATATGTCATCGAAAAATTATCTTGATCGGGCACGAATCTCAAGATAAAAATCAAGTCCGAAATTTTAAAAATTAAATATGGGATCATCTGAACTTCGATTTCAGCAAACTTACAATCAAACTGAGCGTCTCGAAAATACGAACCCAACGACGCCAAATTCAACTCAATCCGAGCCCAAAGAGTCCAAATCAAGGACCCGAAGCGCTATTGGAAAGTGCGTACCATAATTTGAGTTACCAAACTGTCTCCGAACTTGACAAGCTTATGGTCGAATCGAGACGAATCCAACAAGCCCAAGATCGCCAAATTCTAAAGTCATTAAGACCTTCAAATATCTGACGAAAGGTTTATGATCAAAGGATTTAATATCGGCCGTTCATCCGAACCACTCCATATTTTCCCCTGATCTCTCATCTATTTACGGGCTAATGCCACTCCAGAAAACCTATAAATAGACCCCTCATTTCTCTTGACAGGGGACTGAAGCAAGAAGAAGAGGAGAAGAGAAGAATAAGAGGGAATAGACTCCTCCTCGACCACCGTCGGAGTTTCGCCCGAACTCCAAATGACGTTGGATTTTTGCCTGACTTCAACGGGACACCAGAATTCTGTCCAACTTCCATGAGACGCCAGAATTCTGCCCGACTTCCACATGACATTGAAATTCTACCCAAGTAACGATAGAGTTCCCCCCTGACGCCAAAACTCCGCCCAAGTGATACCGGAATTCTCCTCGACCACCAACAGACGTCGGAATTTTACCCGACGCCGGACCTTCACTCATCACCGTTTCTACCTGACGTCGGACTTCTACCGGTTATCGGACTTTCGCTGGACGTCTATCTGAAGATGAATTTCTTTTCATTATTGGACTTCTACCTGATACCTTCCTTCTGACCTTCGTCGTTAGAAAACAATCCTTCCGGCCTCCGTCGCCAGCCGATTACGGTCCTCCTAACTTACGTCGCCCGTCGACTATAGTCTTTCCAACCTCTGTCGCCCTCCTACTATGGTCCTTCTGACTTACGTCGCCCGTCAACTACAGTCTTTCCGACCTCCGTCGCCCGCCGACTATGGTCCTCCTGACTTACGTTGCCCGCCGACTACAGTCTTTCCGACCTCCATCGCCCGCCGACTTACGTCACCTACCGACTATAGTCCTTTCGACCTCCATCGCCAGTCAACTACGGTTCTCTTGACTTACGTCGCCCGCCGACTACAGTCTTTCCGACCTCCGTCGCCCACCGACTAGGTCCTCCTAACTTACATCGCCTGCCGATTATAGTTTTTTTGACCTCCGTCACCCACCAACTACGGTCTTTCTGACTTATGTTGCCAACAGACTACAGTATTTCCGACCTCCGTCATCAGACAACGGTCTTTATGACCTCCGTCGCCCGCTGACTACGATTCTTCTGACCTCTATCACCAGACTATGGTCCTCCCGACCAAACAAACACGTCAATAGTGACTCTTTCTATTCACATCATGTAATGTACTCTATAAAATATACATCAAGCTAAGGCCTTCTCCCAAGGAAGGGACTCATTTGTAATCGACTGCAAATACTAGTTGATTCATTCAAACTGGACCAAACCCCCATGGTTTTTCCTCCTTTTTAGGGGTTTCCACGTGGAAACTCTGGTGTCTCTTGTGAACGCTATACTTTCTCTATTATCTGCTTGTGTGTTGGATCTTCATGCAACGCCAAGACATTAAATTATATATTCCTCTATCGCCGTGAATACTCCAGGTCGAAACACTACTATTTTCTAATCAAATCTTTCTAGGTTTACTTTTAACTTTCTTAGCATAGATCGTCTAATACATCTATTCTCCTAACCTGGTCATGGGAAGGTCAGCTTTTTGTCTCCAAATCATCTATGATGACTCTCTCTATGTTTATATGCCACTGGAGCTATTCCATCCTTATTACTTATATACTCGTTTCACATTTTGCCTCTAAAAATGAACAGATTCATCCATCTGTGCATTGTCATCTCCGCAACTCTTAACTTAATTTTAAATAATGCTAATTATTTTTATATTTGTCAAACTTTAATCATTTTTTATTCATATAAATATATATTACTTGGGTTCGGACATACTTTAATTAGAAGGTACTTGTATCGTACAATTAACTCTATCGCACCGGTTAAGCAATTTTAAACGGCTGGATTGATTTTATCTATAATAAAAAAAAATTCTAATTAGGCATATGTTAAGCATTTAAGCCCTCACGCTGCTTTGCAGTCTTGGCATTATTATCGGCGGGCCCAGCGCCGGTGCCTTCCATTCGCTGTAAGTAATGCGGGCCGGGCTGGGCCGGGCAGGGCAAAGTCTCCGCGTATATATGGGGGGAATTAGGATTAATTCTATGCGAGCACTTATTTGAATGGCCGATAGAGCGTTTACTTGGCACGGATGGTTGTGGAGCTCTGACTTGTGTTTCGCATGCGGGATGATTTGGGTGGGGTGGGCCGGTTCTATTGGCACCAGCCTTTACACCCGCCGTGGGGACGCCACGGCACAAACGTAGGAACGAGCACGCGGGACCTACGTATGGAGAAGGTGCGGGTGGCGGGTTGACTGCGACGTCTCTTTTGTAGTTTTCCATTCTTTTTTCCTTTCGTTGAATTGGGTGGGAGTCCCCCGCCCGCCCACGGCCCACCATACACCATCCTATGTCACCAAAGCCAATTTTGCGATTGGTTTTTTTTTAATGCAATTATTTGTGCTATTAAACTGTATTTATTTGGTATTAGTTTTAATGACGCGAGTGAGAGATCGTTTGCGTGTTATATAAAGAGAATATTTGATCCTTTATTTATATAAGATTTGCAAATGTTTTGTTGGATTTTAGGGACTAAAACTTAAGATTATTTTATTAAAAAGATGATTTAAGAAGCAGTTAAAAAATAATCCCAAATGAAGCCTAAGTGGTTGCACGTATGAGGGGTGAGAAAATGTTTAAAAGTGATTATTAATTATGCTTCATAAACAAGAAATTCATAATATTTTTTTTAAAGAAAAAACAAAATTTATTCAATCAGTAAAAGACAAGTACATCATTGACCAGACATAAAAAAACCAAATACATGGAGAGATTACAATACGAGAGGGCAGTAGGAAAACAAAGCATCAAAGGCTAACGGGATCAGTAATTGACAAAGAGTATCAATCACCCTGAATCCAGGCACGAGCCATCCAGAGAAGTGACAGAGTAAAATACCACAAAAGAGCCAAAAAATCGTCAGCACCGATGAGAGCCAAATAAACACCCCAAGTGGTTGCCAACGAACCATGGATCCAAAGTGGTGAGCCCAAGCCACATCATCGCCCAAATAAAACAGATTGAAGCCAAATAGGTGGCAGCAGAAAAGAGACCATTAAAGGGAAACCAAAACAACACTATTTTTTGGATTTCCGCTTTCTACGTTTGCCAGTCTAAACATTATCATCACGCACAATATATTGTTGATCAAAACATTCCAATTCTTCAACCTCAGAAGAGGAAAGGGAGGAGCAGTCGAGCCAATCTATTTGCATCCTAACTTCCGAGCTGACACCCACATGGGAAATCAAAGCATAAGAATAAATTAAATTCATATGGACCTCAACATGATGGCCACATAATTGTAAAGGAGGCGTCACCAGGGTACAAACTAAAGGTTCCATTTTGCAATCAACCGTAGAACAATCCTGGCCCACAGGCGCTACAATTAAAGCCAAATCATAAGAGCTTAAAGGAGAAACAATATGAGCCGAACCGGATAGTTCCTGCTCAACTACCCTATTAACCTCATAGGTAACAATATTCTCCTCCATCAAATTATGCACTGCCATGAAGTAGCAACACTCCTAAGTGAAGGATCAGGAAGTAAAGCACTATCCGTTACATCATTAATATCACCCAAAAAAACTGAGTTCGAAGCAACAACACCATTCATAGGAACACCTACAGCAGGAGATAGAGCAACAAACCCAGCAGGCAAAAATGCCTCACAAACCGAAGGACCATTAACATGTAAATTAACCTCAGGAATAGGAGATAGGGTAACATGCCCATCAGGCAAAGAATCCTCACAAACCGAAGGAAAATTAACTTGAAAATTAACCTTGGGAACAGTAAAATTACCCGCAGAAACAATTAAAGGCTGCTCGGGAAGAACATCAACAGAGACCGCAGGAGGAGCGGGCTTAACAGCTAAATGAGGATGTAGAATTAGGCAACCAGCATTAGAATGACCCAATGCTTTGCAATGAGAACAATAAAGGGAAACTCTTCCATCTCCACTTGTTGGATATAACCAAACTTCTCAGAACCAAGCCACACTTGGTCCGAAAACTACTTAGTAATGTCTAACTTGACAATAATACGCGTGACCGATGGCCTAGACCTAGAAGAAGTGGCATTATTAGTACGCAACGAACGAACAAACAAAGAGCCAAGACCTTGAACCA